GTTTTCATTTATAATTGACAAGAGTCTTGGCAATGCCAAGAATAATATTATATTTAGTATACTGAAATTTAGAGAGATTATTTCCCGCGTATTATTTCGATCGATGATCTTCCTTTCGTTATACTTGCAACGAAATAAATATATCATGGAATTTTTATTCGATACTTGAAAAATCGGGATATGCTTTTACCAATGCTTTTACAAATACATTAAAAAATCAGTTGCCTGTTCAAAAAGTCGCGAAATTATTTCAAGAGTCAAATAAGATGATATATTATTTAAATAACTATTTTTCAAATATTATGTCCAAATAATCCTCGAGTCTAATACATAACTGAGACTGATAATTCCGATCAAAGATATTAAATTTTTTTAATACTGTAAATAGTTTGGCAATAATTTCACTTTTAAACGTAATTAATTTTTGTTCATGGCTATCCTTGCGTCCAGAAATGTGCAATTGTTCTTTAAGGAACAATATCGTTCATGTTTTTACTGTGACGCGATGCAGTGCGGTATAAAAACACAGCGTTAACGCAAAATCGATTCGCTTATTTTTGAAAGGATCTTATCGACGTGAGACACGCGATTGTTCGAGCCAGTGTGGCGTGATTATTCTCCTGAGTTAGCTTCTAACGTGCGTTTGATCATTCGTTTCGTGATTTTGACGCTAGTTACAGAGAAGTCTAAATCTGAACAGTGAACTTAGGGTTCCTGTGGCAACGTTTATAAATAATTACAATGTTAATGTCACTTATTGAAAGAATTTAATTAATTTCCATAATATTCGTTTACAATATTCGTTCTTTATAATTTCGATTTACTATTAAATTTTATCGATATACTATCACAGAAATATCAAACGATTTATTTCAGGTTTCATACTTTCAATTGTTAGCTAATAGTCCCCTCATCCCTGTAAGTAAACGAAATTCTAGTTTCGGAGATGATAAATGAAGATCTGTGACAAATGCCGATGTAACAATTTTAAGGATATCAGAAAATTCAAAGACACAACGAGCAAATTTAAATCGCGGTGTGACAAACTATACATCAGTTGACTGAGAGAACAAATGTGGCATCGCATAGGGAACTGTCAACTACATACTAGTCAGACCAATCATCCTACTCTACCCGATAGTCAATAGAACTGAAGTTAGCCACGTAAAGTTAACTCTCCTTTCGCGATTGCCAGTCGTGCGTATTCTTCCGCGTTTGTCCAAAGTTACAGGTTACGTTAGAACAAAGGGGTGGCACGCGACGAGGGTTTCGCCTGGCCGAAAAGATGGCTACGCGAGCGTGGTATATATATTTTTACTTACACGGCGTGTACTGTTGCCGTCTCGAGGTTGCACTCGGATTTTCCGAGACTTGACCTACTGGTGCAGTTTAAAGTGCCGTGCTGACACTTTTAAAGATGGCGTCGTAGCAAAAGCACACCCACTTAGCGGAGCCTTACAATGCCTCGAGAGAGGTTTTTGTTCTAGAATAAAGCACCGGTTCGCACTCTGGCGATTTGCTATCCTATCCTGACTCTCCCCCCTCCCCCCCCCTCTCAACCTTATTATTCGTTTTTCATCGAAGAGTATCTTCGACTAGACGTCGTTTTGCAAAAAGGGCTACTCTCAAAGGTCTCTCCCCTCTTCGCCTTCTTTTATCGTTCTATTTCTTTTCTTTCCTAACAATCTTTCCGTAATTCTATAAAGGTAAAAATCAAATCATATATCTTTTTTATTTGAAATCTTGAGGCTTGTCTGAGTTCTGTAATGTGTACACTCTGATTATTGCTCCAATCGTTTGATTATTATACGTATTAGACGGAATTGTATCTGTCAATGAATTGAAATTTAAAGAAATGGATTCTAAGTAGAAAATGCTTCACGTATCACCAAACTTTCATAATTTACTAAAGAAACGGATTCCAAATGAAAAGTTGTATTTTGTAGCATTTCGTAGTATCAGTATTCACCTACTAAATATTGTAATAAGTATACTTTAATTTCGATATTTTATTATCCGTACATACTACATCTATAGTAGATTACTAGCCATCGCTAGATTGTGAATGTTTATGTAAATTTACGTTTCTATAAACACAAATAAACATATTTCTATTACTCTGAATTCCTCTCTTCAAAGCACCCTCTCCTTTCATACCGTCCTCTATCGGAGCGTAAATTTCTATCGGAAATTGTTGTCGCGATCTATTCTTCATTACGGTGGACTCGACCGATCGTTATTTCCGACGGGTATTTCGATCGTGAACCGATTTTAATTGCAGCTATAAGGGCCTGTGGCGAGTTAAAAAGGAATGGCAGGACATCTTTGACGGTTTCTGAGGGGATCGATAGATAATTATGCGATGCAACAAAGTCGGTTTCCTAAGATACTCTCTTTTTATGTAGGTATAATCTTCGTCTTTTATTTATTGTATCATTTCATCTTTCTCTGGGCCCTCCTGCCGTGCGATTGGAATAATATTATTAATGATACTTTACTTGAGAAGTATACAAACTACAACTTGTAACTCGTGTCAATTCGCTGATATCATTAATCCTTGGAGTGTTTAAAATTACCAAAAATTGTAAAAGTTTAGAACAATTTAAGAACGCATTCATCAACATGAATTTTTTAATTTAACTTTGCAACACATTATCCTCTTTGAACCTTTAATAAGTAAACTAATTATTCTTTTATTGATTGTAAGATTATCTGTATATTATTACAGACTAAGTACTCAAAATCTGCTGAATTATTTTTTAGAATCTAGTCCCCATACTAACTCTATCATATATTAAACCAAACTGTATAACAGAAGTTCTTAAAATTTGTAAAATTTCGTTTAAAATTGGAAGTTCTATGCAAGTAACTAATTATAATTATAACTATCCAGCTGCACTCTCTTGAGTACCGTACATGCATTACGGATCTCACTTTTCTATTCGAACAAAAAAATTCATTGCTCCAACAAATTAACTCAAATAAAATTTCGTGTATAAAACTCTTTCCTACTTTCTTTCAAACAGTCTAGAGTACTACATAGAGTATGTAGAGTAGAGTAGTTATAATAAAGTATACGATAAATAAATGTGTGTAAGTGCGTGAATTTTTTCTCTGAATCTGTAAAATCTCTAAAAACTTCCGCCCTGCGTGTTATGCTCCCCAATTCTTAGATTTATCTTCGACTGCTTAAATCTGAATATACAGAGTGTCTGTAAAGTCTCTTTACAATTTCAAAAATTTATTACAAATCAATTCATTTAATATATATATTATATATATATAATTAATATTTTAATATATATAAATATATCTTTATATGGGCACCATTTCTTGCCATATTCGCTGTAGCATACCCTCATCAATGGCATCAGTGATCAGTATTAAATGAGGCAAAAAAAAAAAAAAAAAGAACTTAAATGTATACGTCTCATTTCCTAATAATTTCCACTCATCTGTCCTTTCATTTGCTTTCGTAATAAATTTTCGAAATTGTAAAGAGACTTGATGGACACCCTGTATAATAACAATCTCATGAAATTTTAAAACGCTCTCCACCACAACGCGTGATACATAAATAAATGAAATTTATTCTCTTTATACTCTTTCGCGATGACTGTCCGAACACTTTCTCGCGAGCCACTGTCAACCACCCCACCCTAGGGAGACTTCGTTCCCTATCGGTTTCGCCAACCTCTCGAAGATTGACCGGCACGAAGTGAAATTTCGTGGCTGGTTGAAACACGAGTATCAGTATCAAGCGTGGGTGTTAGCGTCGCCGTCGTCGCCGGCCACTTCATCCTTCTGGTCGTCGATGTCTCGGTGCGGTGGCGTCGTATGGTTTCGGTGTGTAGACGACCACTAAGGAAGAAGAGGCCTCGCGGTACCACCCTTGCCCTTGACTGCAGGCGCGAGACCGCTTGTCTGAGGGTTGTGTCGGAGCTCGCAGACAGGGTGAGTAGGAGATACGAGAAAGAAAGCGAGACGACGAATCGGGACGAAAGGAGGAAAGAAAGAGCGAGAGGAAGAGGAAGAGAAAGAGAGAGAGAGAGAGAGAGAGAGAGCGTTGCGAGACGCAAAGCGTTTGCAAGCCTCCTTCCTGCCTGCTTCTTTTCGCTCCGTCTCTATGTTGCCTCGCAAAAGCTCAAGCTGGACGTGTAGATACACTCGCGTCGAATCGCGCAGAGTGTACACGACGGGATAGAGCGAGTAAAGTGTGTAGAGTCGCGTCGAGTGGAGGGTGCCGAGAAGGGTTGGTCTACGTTAAGTGGTCGGTTGGGCTGTTACGTTGGTCTGGTTGCTCGGCAAGCTAGTTGTCTTATTCCAACGCGCCGATCATCTATTGCTGATCTGTCGTCTTACTTTATTATGTACGTTTGCAGGATTTATTCTGCTAGTTTCAATTTATTTTCTTATTTGTTTCACTTGTTATTCTATCGCAAAACCTCCTATTTTCAGGCCCAAATTAATCTTGAAATATTTTGTCTATTTTGTTTCTTTCTCCTGCTTCTAGTAAACTTTCTTTGAATTTGAATTTGTTCAAAATTTAACTTGTTACTTTATTGTACAGGCTCGAGAGACTCATTCTATTATCGCTAATATTACGCTATTAGTGACACGTTGTTATACTTATTTTATTATCTTACTCCGATGCAAATATATTTTGAACTATTTTTCTTTCTTCGTTTTTTATCTTGTTTAAATTAGTTAATGTAATTTGTTGATATTAAGGTTGAATTGACTCAGTTCTCAACTTGAAATTCATGCCTGTGTAATATTTCAAATCCTTCGTCTTCTTCAAATATTTAAATTTTGCAGATGTACGTAGATTTTCATAGTAGTTTACAAAAGATAAATATTAATCATTGCGTGACGATGATATTTATAACACTATGTTTAGCGAGTCGTCTCCAACTTGTTAACCTCTTCAAGTAACAAGTTTTTGATCCAGAAAAATTCGCAAGCACCAGAGACACCGAAATGTTGGAAAATGAACTTACCTTTCACGTGTTCTGGAGTATCCGCTGTACCAGCTCGCATGATGTCGCTCAAATAATGCTCTAACGTCCTCATACTGTCTAACGGTGAATTTCCATTAGCCGTCATACGATCCTGTAACAACAATTTAAGTTTCTTCGTTGGTTACATTGCAAAAAAAATGTAAAGAATTTATTCATACATTTACAAGTAAATATATTACACGTTTTTGAATGAAAAACGAAAAAGTCTATGGGAGTATTATGTGAATAGAAAGAGTCAATCGTATTTCAGAACTGATTTACATTAATAATGTTGAAACAGGTTGCAGTTGTCCAGACTGCACATTCTAATGTAATTTTATGTTTTCATAAGTGTAATTAAAAAAATATGTTTTTCGAAATAAAAGGCTTCATTGAATATTGAAACAAGAGTTCTAATTTGGACATTTACGTAGTTATGAATATTTTCAGTCATTATTAAATTTGCATTTTCATAATTCACATTCATCAAAAGATATAATTAACATTTCTAATTTTATTTCTATACTCTATTCTGCACATTTTTGTATCTTCAAGCTTCTCCTAAACACACGAAAACGCGACAAGCGTTTTCTCGAGAATTCTTCCGAACAATCCTCCAACTGGCCGACGACGAAGCCACCCGATTATTCGGCAAATTCAACTTATAACGCGGGAGGCGTTCGCTCGATCCCGCAGTTTCCAAGAGTGGGCGAATTTTAATTTTTCATCGGATCTCGTTATCGCGCTTCATCGAAACGAGCCTCTCGCGCGGAGAAAGGGCTTTTGAGGAAGAACGAGTGCCTCGATGGAAAACTTACCCGGCAGCGATGTCGCCGCTCTGCCCGGATGAATAGAGTAACTAAAAAAGACAAGGAGAAGAGGAGAAGAAGGATGAAAGGAAAAGAGGCGAAGTTATGGGTTGAACTCCTTCGAGAAGGTTACGCGGAAACAAACGATCTAGCTTCCACCGGCCTCTAAGGCCACCCCTTGTTTTTCAGACAGTGGCAAAGAAATTCTTTGTTTCGGAGAATACCGTTTGTCATTGAGGATACATCAGTTTCGTATCTCGTCTGGCTTCCTACGCTTTCCTTTCCTAAGGCTTCGGACGAAAAGGACCGTCAGCCACGGGCGGAAGATGGAGAATTAAACTGTTGCAATAATAAAGAGGCGGCCGTGCTGTTTAACCTTGCGCCACGGTTCTCGAATTTTTGTCCTTCAATCTTGTCTCGATCTTTAAACTGTATTTAGGTATATTTATTGTAATATATATAATGTATTTATAATATACATATGTATATAACTGTACATATTATACATACGTGTACCAATAACAAAATTTTCACGTTTTTAAGAAAACTTGTGAAACGAATGAAAAATTATTAACGACAGAATTAAATTGTGCATAATAGATAAAAGATATAGGTTTCGTATGCAAAAATGCAGAGAGATTTATTACAGCGGAGTTACTCGTACTATTAATTTTTCTCGCATACTGAATTCCAAGTATTCCAACGAAAATCAAAGAAATAAATCATTCTTGAATTACCTAACTCTTTTGATAATTCTTAAATATTATTACGTGTTCTTTATTACGTTCCGCAAAAGATTCTCGAAAAACTCTCGAAAACATTTAAACGTTATTAATTTAGTTTTTTAAATAAAAACTTGTCTCCCATGTTTTAATGAATATTCGTATAACTAATTAATAACAGAATGGACTAGAGTATTTCGATAACAGAGGTTCTACTATAGCATTGATCGATCTATTATAAATTTATAAAATTACATAAATTTCTAAACAGTCGAACTGCTCTTTCGTTTTCTCTCTTTACAAATTCAATTGGAGAGAAATGTCGAGGGAAAGAAGAGATAACAACGATCAATAGGGAAAGAAAGAACGATTACAAGCGCCATGAATATATCTTGGAATCATTTGGAAGGGAATCGATCGTCCGGGGCGAGCGTCCGACCACGCGTCGTCCTTTACTACTGAACTCGTTTCACTGGAGAATACAGTATTTATTTCGACGAGCGAAATATGAAACTCATTTAGCCAAAACCTTGACCAAACGCGTATAGCTAGGATCTATGGCTACAAAGTCAAATGTAATATCTTTTCCAACGTTGTTATTTAACATTTGTTCATTCACGTGAATCATCGATCGTTCGATAAAAATACTCTGAGCAATGCGCGATTAGAGAATATATCTCAGAATCAAATATACGAAACAGGGAGGAATGCGAAATGATAGAAGATGAAAAATAGCGTCGGAGAGACCAATATACGAATGTTACTAAAAATATTGGATTGCGGTATAAATTTATTCTATGTAATATATATAGATATGAATTAATCATTAGTGAATTAATTCACAGATATATATATAGTATGAAATCCAAAAGGTTTATTTAAAACGTTATATGGAATATTAAAACTATATATATACTTTATATGTACGGTATAGTCTCTTTATCAATTTAGACAAACTTTCTATCTTATCTATAGCTTGATATCCAAACGAATCGAGAATAATAAAGTCCTTAAATAATGAAACTGTTTTATAGTTGCAGTTTCCAATCTTTCACCATGTATTAAATTTCGAAAATAAAGTTCACCGTGTCCAAGTATTCTATTCATTCTGTTTCATCCTCACAGTTCTTACTATTATTAATTTTCCAAATAAATTGTATTCTTGCTAATAAATATTTTAAAAATTTTAAACATTCTATATATGCGAATCTTGTCAAAGTTTGAGAATTAATGACGATTAGCATTCACCACGTTCTCGTGAATCTATGAAACTAAATTGCCTATTGAAAAATGTAACAACGACATAGTTTACTATTTATTATTCAACTTTTCAATGTATGCAATTTCGAGTGAAAAAAATTGTGCATTCAAATATCATTAATTGTATTAATGCCAGAAGTATTTCTATCTCAATCCAACGAATAATTCGAAAATTGAAAAATCAAAACACAAAGTTGAACAAAGCTGAACATCTACAATCGTCAATTACAACTATGCACACTGCCTTCGAAACTCAATCTAATCAAAAACCCAGGTGCTTTAATTACCAAAAAAAAAAAAAAAGAAAAATACAATAATTGCAACTTCGTTTCTCCGTAATTTTCGGCTATGTACATATTTCGTTAAAACGCATCTTGTCGAAAAATAAGCGTGCACGTACGATCATGTCTCTCTGTCCGTTCTCCCTTCCTGGCGCAAGGCGGAAGGTGCAAAGGTAGCCCCACTTTCTTCGCGTCCGCGTCTTTCCTCGTATTACCTGCAACCCTGAGGTGTATTTCCCCCCTCGACCAACCGACGTGAAACACGGACTCGCCAACACTCGCGCGCTCCAACCTAGTTCCCCTTCTTTGGTTTTACCGCCGCCCACACATTGCCGTAAACGTGACTGGGGTGTGCGCGCGCACGCCGCTCTCACCTACACACTCGCCGGGCGCGAATCACGAACGGGGCGCACCGGCACCCTGCTAGCCGATTTCCGTGCACGCGCACAAGCGCAGAGCAACGTGTCCTCTCTCGCTCTGGCCGTTTGTCGCCCCGTTTCCGTCTAGCAGAAGGTACACTGGAAAATCAATATAGGGAAACCAGGAAGCGACGGCAGGGCGTCGACAGCAACCTCCGTGCAGGCTCCATCACTGTACCACCCCTATATCCACTTGCTACCAACCCCTCCCCTCCTCTCCCTCCCTCCCTCCCTCCCTCCCACATCCACCTCCTCCTCCTCCACAGCCCTCTTAACTTTGCTTATCCATTTACCTATGCGTTTCTTCTTCTCCTCACTTTTCCGCCCCGCACTTCAGCTTCGATCCGCCGAAGTGTTTTTAGGTTATGTTTTTGTCCCGTAGTTTGCCGCGGGATGCGGGTAATCGCGAGAAATCTTGTTTTTGAGGCGAGGCAATTTCGTTATTTCGTTGCAAGTCTGTCAGATGTTTCTGGGATCTTTCTCAGGGAGATGGATATCACGCCACGTTCTCTCTTTCTGTCTCTCAACATTGCCCGTCCATTTTCTCTTCTTCTCTGCCTCAGCTTCGATCTAACAGCAGGTTTCTAAGTGCAAGTGGCTCGTTTCAGAAATTTTAGAAACTTTTTTGTACAAGTAAGAATTAGATAGAATTTGTCGGGCATTTGTAGACTCTGCCGTTAATTAAGACCGGAGCTAATTATTTTGATACTGAAAACTGTAGGATGGCATCGTTGGTAAGTCTATCTAAACTTTTATGAAAGTTACTCTATCCAACGACATCCAATAATATAAAATAAACTGTTTTAATGACCGTTAAAATATACAGCGAAGAAACAAGCTAATCAAAACTTTCCATAGTTCTCGTGTCCATCGTAACGCAAGCAAACGCGACGCAAAAGAAAATCGCGCGTCGAATGAATCGAAATGAAAGTACGATACCCGACGCGATATCCGACTGAACTCTTCGATTCGAAGAGCAAGGGCTATCGTTTCCCTATCCACGCGATGGCGTGGAACGTTAATTTTTCTAATTTATTCGCAGCTAAAGTTCATTCCCACGGATTGGACCGGAGAACAAAGGGAATGCGCACGGCCGCGCAGCAGTTTGTCGCAGACGGAGCAGATTCGAACTAGGATTCTGCGCTATACGATCGCAGGGTGTGTACCCGCGACAACGGTTGGCCTACTTCCAATGATTACCAGCCGTAAAACGCTCTGCCACGTCCTTTACCTTATACCCAGGCTGAACTCACCCCAACGAGATCAATTATTCATTAATAAAAATACATCTCGACAATTTCATTTTCCGCGTATAACCTAAATATTAGGATACTCCAGGGAGGGAAGAGAAGCTGCAAGATTTCGTAGAGCGAGAAAGATCACGCAACGGGGTGGGGAAGAAAGAGAAAGAGGGGCACGAAAGATTAATTATTAATAAAAATACACGACTCAGCAACCTCGTTTCCCAGATAACCTTAATGTTGTATAAATCGATGATGGTGAGGTTTGTAGGTTGGGTTAGGTTCGGATGCTGCGAGACAATGGACAGAGCGACGTTGTTAAAATTATGCAAGAAAGAATGTTGGAGAATTTAGGAGAAGATGGGGAGAACGAGCTTTAC